AGCTTTCTTACGCAATTAGTCAGCCGGACCATTGCCTTAAAAAACAATAGGGCGACCTGCGACCAAATTTGCCACAAAAAACAATGGAGCAACAACATGTTTGAGAAACCTGTCCTATAATGAAACCGCCCTGTATATCTTATAATACGCAACCTCTAAAACCGCGCAACTCCAAAGAACTTCTGTTATATTCTTCTAAAGCTTGTTTATTGGGATAATTGTATTACAAAAACACAAAAACATTGTACATTAGCAACCTTGTGTACAACCTTGACATCTGGTTAGTGCCATGTTGCCACATTCACCACAACTTCTAATTTAAAAAAAGCACCAACGGGCTCCCGGTACAGAGTGTCAGAAATGACTTGCTTCAGATGCATATTTCGGGTGAAACAAAACGTCACATATGAATGTCTTGTCATATGTCAACGGAATATTGGAAAATGGTAGACGGGAGACACTAATAAATGCAGTTAAAGCTGGCGTTAAACCTGAAATCGTGCGTAACACTACAAGATATGGAAATCGTATACTTTACGAATTTTTTCGATAATTTTATTTTCACTTTCCTTTTTCAAAGAGGGAAAAGGAATATGTGTACCAAATTTGGTTCCAATTGATTCAGCCGTTTAGCCGGAAATGAGAGTAGGTACAGACCAACAGACGGATCGACATCATCGAGATTTTGTTTGATTTGGATTCCTGGTGCTTCAAAACGTGTATTTCCGTCAAAAAGGTGAGGGGTCATTTTTTACCCCAATGCAAAACCTCCCTTACTAACGTGCGGGTAGTAAAAAACTAAGAAATAATAATTGCCTTGCATTCAACTTGTCCTCTTTATTGACTAGGGTGATCTCGTATAAATCCCATATGCTTGTAAAACGGATAGGGAAAGATGTCGAAGAAAACATAGAGCTTAGAGCTATTAGGAACGAACTGCGACCGCGATTTACTGGCAAGAAGTCGATGGATTCAATTAAGACTCTCGAACTACACATTCAGGGGGAGGCAAATTGTATTATGAATTCGTTTTTTTTCTTCTCAATCTCTTTCGCTTTAAATGTCCTTCGTGAATACGCGATATACACTGAAGCCAGATACATACACTGAGTTGCCATGACAATACCGATTGCTTCTTCTTTGGGGGTGATGCCAGAGTAATTGATGTCTTTGATTTACTGCATATGGAATCGTATATTGATCGGATTGGATTTTATTGCAATAATCAAATTGGACGAGGTGCCAATTTCGTCAAAGTACCTGCATACAACGTGTTTAAATTATTGCGCTCGAACACGCATCGAGTTAATGAAACGCGTTAATCAATGCGACTCCAAAGATCGACGTTTAATTAAAAATAAGACAAGTTTGAACGTGAGTAAGTGGTTAATTGCCAGCTTCCTTTTCCGTTGCTGTTTCTTTAGGATTTATTGAAAGGAAAGGTGACTTAATTTATGCGCTTGTAATAAAAAATGTTCATGTATTTGTTTACAGAAGAACGACATTATGGGTGTACTAACTTTATTATCGCTTGTCATGCGAGACGACTCAAAAAGTGATCACAACGTTTTACTTGTATCAAGGTTTTAATTTTATCTCGGACAGACTGTATTTAAATTTATTGGACTACGAAGCTAGAAAAAACACTCCTGTAGTAAACTGTGATTGCTGTATCAGTATTTCTGAATATGTGTATATTTTTGGGTAACGATGTCAAATTTTTTAAAACACCCTGTACATTAAACTTTTGATAATGGCGACTAAATTCCTTTCCAACAGTTTACTTTTTCACATTTACCTATGGCTCATACAAGATTGCCTGAATGTTGCATTTTTATCATTGATTAGCCGAAACTCAAACATGAAACTTGATCAGCTTTACCCATCATTTTGGACGAGAGAGGCCCCAATTTGATTGGGGAAACTGTAAAATGATATGACAAAGAAAACGAAAATTGGCTCTGTGGGCAACCATGATTATTACTTGCTGTCATTATTCCTTATGTCCATGTGCTGAAAAAAAATGATTGCGCATGCAAGTTTCGTATTTGTGAACGAACTTTTCTGAAATTTTAGGGGAAGGCGCTTCCTAATGCTAAAATCACGTGTAAAAAAATGGAATGCGCGTGCTAAGATATAAATTTCTTATTTATGGACGGTTTCTTCTGAAATTTTAACTCAAAATGCTGCTTATAAAAGTGGATTCAAAACACACGTCAAAAGATTGATTTCGCCATGCATAGATTTTTTTAATTTATAGAGGGATTTTTCTGCGGTTTTAAGGAAATATGCGCCTTAAAAAATGAACTAAACGCACATAAACAAAATAGATTATGCCTCCGCAGACTGAAAAAGGAAAGAGAATTATTACGCATGCGCGGACCTACATTTCTTTATTATTTCTGATCCAATTCCTATGAAATATCAGCGAAGGATGCTTTCTATAGTAGAAAATTGAAATAAAATGTCACAAAATAGATTGCGCATGGACCGACATAATTTTCTTATTTGTGGACCTCTTTTAAAAAAACGAATGAAAGCACACGTTAAAAAATTGATGGTGTATGCGCTAAAACGCAATGCAATTGCTTGCAGCTGGGACCCCAACGCTTTCGTGGTAACAATTTCTCTAGCTAGGGGCAAGCACAATGATACACCGAAACTAAAATTATTCGCTCAGGTATTAATACGGTAACGCTTCGCAATATATTTACGGTTAAAAATAAATCTGCCAGCCGATCGCCTTCGTCACGCATCTGCATAAACCAGTCACGTATTATTAATTTACTCATAAAGTTATTAGCACCTCGTATAAATAAATGTAGAGGGCACCCCGTCAATAAACTTCTCAAAATGGCGACACAGTCGTCGTTTGCGAGGCCACCAGCAAAATATGAAGTACACTAAAGTTTGAAACATTATTTATGTACCAGCGGTAAAAAATCAATTTTCACAGATGTCCTCGAGGATGTCTTTTATGTGATCTTCCTCCGGGTGTTACTTAAAACGTTTACAACAAAAGTGAGAACAAAGATGATGTGATAATTATTACGTGTGACAAAGCTAGCAGCGGATTTGAACGAGAGACCTTCGGACTATTACACGAATTCGGGTTCCTATTCTTGAAGGCGATCATGGTGTATTTACCAAGGAGTATTTTCCATTATGCAGACTCAACTATTAACGATTCAAAGTAACGTTCCCTTTTTCAGGATCGGATTTTTCATTTCATAATTTTGAGATACAATATTTTTCATGTTGTCATAAAAAATACAAAACATGCGCATCTTAAAGCAGTTTAGACGTTTTTCTAACCAAACATCACACTCTAATAGGAATTACTTCTTGGATTACAAGGCAATACCTACATTTGGTTTTTTTTCCAACAAAATCGGTGGATAAACTAAGTCTACAACTTTTGACCTAAACGGGTTTACAAAATTATGTCCAATAGTAACCTATAAAATAGGATGTACCTATAAGTCTGGTGAGATGTGGACCATATTTCCTCACATGGCGTTTAACCTGGAAGAAAATTTAACAGCGACTATGGGAAAGTATACGGCAGAATGGAACACGTAAATGAAATAAAAGTATCCCAGACGTATAGATGATCATATTTTGGGACAGCCATTGCAGTCTTATGCCACAATGGCGCATTTTATTTTTATTTTTGTGGAAATGCGCTAAAAAGTGACTCGCTGATTTTCTTTCACTTTATCTATTTATTAGATCTAGATGCGAGTGCGATGCCATTTTTGCAGCACGGGCTATGACTAATTGTTTTGTAGAAGGTTCCTCACCTGAATAGTAATCAAGCCTTGTTCAGAATTTTAATACTAATTATTCGTTGAAACTTGCATACGCAATTATTATTATTGTGATAAACATTAATCTCCAGGTTGCCTTTCAAATTTATAGTCTTGCGCAGTTTTGTAAAAATTAATAAGGTAAATTGTGTTTTGTCCATCCGTTACCCAGACCCAGCTCAGTGCTGCTGTTTTGAACTACCTACTAAGACAAATTTCTTGCAATTATATATAGCGTATACCTTGAATGTGTGCCATACAAATTTTAAAAAATAGCTTGACGTTTTCCCTGCTATAATAGAATTTCTTATTTATACATCATTCTTTCGTTGTTATTTGCTGCGTTCATCCCTGACCGATTGGCGATGGTGCATAATACCCAACGCACATTTCCTTCAATGCAATGTTCTGTCACTTTTTAATAGTTTAGCTTTCGGACTTTAGCTTATTGGAATTATAGAAAAGCTAAGGAATTTTGCTTTAGATCTCTTCCTGGTTTTTCATCAACATTCGGAGTTATGTTGCATAAGTACACATAAAGCAGTACGGAAGTCGTGGGACCGTTTACGAGTTATGTTTTTGCATTTATTTGAATGTTAATGAAATGAATTAATAAGTAGAGGTCAATTGCTGTACAACTGTTAAAGTTGATTTAGAAGCTGCTGCCATTGTTATCTTCCGACTCCGATTTTCAATCTCTTCTTAGAAAGTAAGCATTCATGAAGTTCAAAATAAAACGTATCAATTTATATTTGGTGATGAGTTATTAATCGTGCCTTCTCCAGTCACAATTTAAAGCACTCATGCGGAGTTTCACATATGGTTACTAATGCCGAGTAACGGTGTATTTTAAGAACGGGTGATACATTACTCGCAAGGCTATGCCGGCCTTTAATCTCTTGTACTATTTGGGTTAGTTTAGTTCACTTCCTTACTAACTACAATAACACAAAATATTTTCGTCAACAAAAGGGTTACAGGTTGTGTGCATTACTTAAATGTCAAATTTTCCTAATAAATGCCCTTGTACAGTCGTACAGAAATAGTTTTCAAAGTAGCCTTCTGTAGAATAACCTTGTCAATGTAAACAATCATTTTTAATTGTAAACAGATTTCGACAATTATATGACCCCAAAGTAATGCCAGATTTGCCTAATTCCCAATTGTAATTCTGTTTTTTTTTATTTTCAGTGGCAATGTCTAAAGATAATCCAGAGGTGGACTGCAAATCACCGATTAATGCGTCATACCAGCAGTACAACACAAACATGGGATCAAATCAAGCAAAAGAAAATGCAATTAATAGTGAGAACGAATGCAACGTACAATCAGATTCGAAATTATCCGGTGACTTAAGTACAAATGAAAGTGTAACGAATAAATTTGTTAGTGAACATTCTAAAACTGAATTACAATCAAAAACTGCAATAAATAATCAAATCGTAGAATGCGTACCACAAACTAATGAATTTGTGAACGAACTGGATTGTAAGGTCGATATAAATAATGACGGTGAAGATTCGGCTACCGAAAGTCTACCTGCACCAGAAGAAGTTTCCGAAGAACCACACGATCGCTCGGATGGTTCCGATTCAGGACTGGGCTCGGAAATATCCGAAGAAAGGCCCGTTGACGCTGTTGCTTCTGTGCTTGAAGAAAGCGATACCGAGAACTCTTTCCTCAATCGCATTCCCGAAGATCAGTCTTCGACATTGATAGATGTTGGTAACAATGATCAAACAAATTTGGAAGTGCCGTCCACAAGCTTTTCTGCAGAAAGCAAGACGAGCAGTGCAGAAGATGCAATACAAACAGCCCTTGTGCCTCGACGAAGCACACTGAAACGAAAAATATCACACGAAGGAGAAGACCTGCCGAAGTGCAAGAAAAAGCGAAGCATTGCTTTTGATAACGTGACCGTATTCTACTTCCCGCGAACGCAGGGTTTTACCTGCGTGCCATCTCAAGGAGGTTCCACCTTGGGCATGGGTGCCAAGCATTCTCACGTCCGTAAATTTTCAATGAACGAACATGCCAACGAACAGCGGCGCATCCACAGACAATTGCTGCAACGACTCCGATCGGAGAGACAAAACGTGCGAAACGCGACATCATCAAGCGATGATAGTGAAAGCGACGAAGAACTCAGCGACGGTTCCGATTCCGAAATGGACTTGGATAACTACTACTTCCTTCAACCAGTTCCTACGCGACAAAGGAGGGCGCTGTTACGATCGGCCGGTGTACGAAAAATCGATTCGCTGGAAAAAGACGAATGCCGCGATATTCGTACATCGCGAGAATTCTGTGGGTGCGGTTGTAAAGGCTACTGTGATCCAGATACGTGCTCCTGCAGTCAAGCGGGTATAAAATGCCAGGTGGACAGGTTGAACTTCCCGTGTGGCTGCTCACGCGACAATTGCGGAAACTCAAGCGGCCGTATTGAGTTTAACCCGGTCAGGGTTCGTACTCACTTCATCCACACATTGATGAGGCTAGAATTAGAGAAGAAGCAGAAGGAGGCCGAAGGCGAAGAAAAATCTGACAAACCGTCGACTAGCTGGATGGAAAATGAACGGTTAAATTACTATCCGAAGACAGAATCAAATAACAGCAGGAGTGCAAAATTTAACGGAAGTCTTCTGAAAGATGTTACGCTAAATTCAAACATGGAAGTGGAATCCTGCGTGCATAACGGGAACTTTACAAATTTGCACTACGGCGCACCCGGCGAAGGTCCAGGACTATCCCATCCGCCTCCTGGTTTTACAGATTTGCCGTCGCGCGAAGACTCGTTAGACCTGTACACCTTCCGTGAAGAATGCTACCAGGATGAGGTAGCCCAGGATGCGTCTTCCTCCGAGCGCAAACAACCTTTTCCCGCTAACCAAAATTTCCATTTCACCGATCCGCGTTTTACCGATATCGTTTTTCCAAGTGGTACGTCGACCTTTACGCCGCCGCCCAACCAGTACGCCCAACCGTACCAATCTGGCTTCTCCGACTTTTCGCCAGTGTTTAGTCCTTATGGAGGCATGTACTCTACGGAGTTTGGAACGAAATCTTTCGAACCAGGTTTTCAGCAACCTAACAACTATGACCATTTTCCCGCACCTTCTTCTGAACCATTTTCCGGCGGTACGGATTCCAAAGAAAGTCAGTACACTAATTTAAATCCCGTCGGGGCCAACATTAAAATAGAATCATTTTCAGATCTTCTTAATGGTAGGTATAATTACACGGCCTACGAAGAGACCGCTAATTTTCCAAACATAAATAATGCGAATGTTGTATCTGCCAGCAATAACTCTGAGTGTTCTGGTATTGATAAAACTGGTAATAGCGTGAACAGTACTGGCACCACAGAAAACTGTGACGAAAACTTTGGAGAGATAATTAAAAAATCTATTGTAGAAACTGTTTCGGCTTAGATGAACGATTATAATTAAAAATTGATATTAATATATAAATTATGATTATCACGTTCCATATTATTATGTAAATGAGATTTATATAAACTGTAGAAAAAAAGCAGTGTTTTAATAAATGTTGTGAGAAAAAAGTGTGTAGGTACTTGATCTAATACAACACATTTGATGTTAGCAGAACCCTCAGATAAGTAGTAGATAGTACATATTTACAGAAGATAGCCTAAATAATAGAACTATGAGTTGACTTGAGCATATTTGCGCGCAAATATGCTCAAATGAGTACATGGGCGTACGCAGGGAGGGGCAAGGGGGGGCAGCTGCCCCGGCCTGGCCACACGTTACGTTTTATGTTATTGTTAAAAAGTATCTGTAAGAATTGTCTTTGTTGGCTTCTAATTCAATCCTTTGAGATTTAAGCAATGAAAGAGGTTTTAAGCTACAAATTAGGGTACCTACCGGCTCGCCTGCCGTCGGGCTGAGCGAAGATTTGCCTAAAATTCTACCGATATACCGAAATTTTTAGTAACTATTACCTACTAAAAATAAAAATGTATATTATGTGTTTCATTAAACATTTTTTTCTTCCAATTTTATTTTTTGTCCCTCCCTAGACCAAAAGCTGCGTACGCCCATGAATGAGTACGCAATTACTCAACCCATAATGTCCAGGGAAAGCTCCTTATTTCTCCTATTGTCGGTTAATTTTTGGAGTTCTGCTTTATCGATGTCATGGAACCCGTTATGATATTGCATTTATGTATAGTGTTTGTATTATGTCACATCACCTGGAAAAATACGGGATCCGATCAAGAAGGGAGTGTTGAGTCACATTGGATAAGTGAACATCTTAACAAAGCTTATGTCCTGCTTTAAGACTTCAAGTTCTTAAAGGAACATGGGACTATTTTTTTGCCTCAATTTCAAGTAAGGAATAAAGGAAAAGTGGTGAATAGTCCGTAAAATGAGGAAGTTTGCATATCGGATTTACCGCGTATAGGTTATACATCTTTGCCGTTCTAAAGCATGGCATTCGGGTGAGATAGTAAGTGGGTATCTATTTTACGAACCGCGGGAGGTGAACTAAAAGGGTGCTTTACGTTAAAGGCGTTTTAAATAGAAGTTGCTGCGCCAAAAAGAAACAACACGTAAGCCATGTTTGTGAATTTAGGAATGGACAATATCCGCTTACATCTCTTTCTGGCGCAGCACCCCTCATTTAAAACGCCTATAGCGAACGCGAAGAGCACCATTCATAGTTCAAAGTTCACTCTCCGCGATTCGTTTAACCAAAGAGTACCCACTCTTTGGTTTAACTAGATATCCACTTGCTCTCTTAAAGATTTAGACACCGAAATCTGTGTTATAAGCGGTAATCCGATATGCAAACTTAACCATTTTACGGACTATTGTTATCTTTGTCGGCTATAGCTTTATATTTTAAAAAATCCCTTTCGGCTCGGCCGATCAGGTGTAGTCCATGGGCCAGTCGACATGCGGTATAATTTGGGGGTACCAATTTTCCTTTTTACGGTGGTTATACAGGTTTATTAGGATGCCAAAGAACCATGATTGCCATCTCAAAGCGGTAGCTAATAGAAATGGCGGCCAATCAAAGATGGCGGATGTAGAGTTTTATAAAGTAAACTATATCTTTGAAATTATTGATCCAATTTCATTAATCTTTTTTTTTAATGAAAGCTCTTTATATGTGCTATAAATATTGTTATTAGTACTTTTTCGATAAAATCAACTGTTAATAAGTAATTTAAAAAAATGTTTTTTTTTAATTGTTTCCCGAATGTTCTTTACTGCCTGTATTAATACACAATGAATGGTAAAATTATGCGCATATTATGCAGAATATTAGTGAAAAATATGCAAACAGTTTTGATATATGCACACGTATACAAATTTATATATGTTGCATAATTTCTAATAAAAAAGGAATTACGATAAACACTAGCAATAAGATGTTTCTCTAAGTTTTCTCCACGAAATGATTGTCTCCTGTCGCTAAGAATAATTTATAAGCACTAAGCAGAGAGAAACTATACTCTACATCAACTAAAGTAATAGGTGCATTAGAAATGGACAAACTATTGGGAGCAATTTCCAAACCTTCCACAATATCACCCATCATCACCGTAGAGAAAGAGAAAGATAAAAATAGTTTAGAAATGATGAAATTAAACATCAATTAAATCAATAAATCTTCCTTTCGGCTTTTGCAGTATGTTTCATTATCGCGTCCGTTATAAAAATCCGAAAGAATGTATTAAAAATTGAAATTAAAATCGATTAAATCTAACAAAAATTTAAATACATCTTAAAATATGCAATTCTATCATGTAAATGCAAAGGATATCAAAATATGCAAGATACGCAAAAATAAATTCGGTTTAATAAATATTGCAAACCGAAGATACACAAAATCTCATAAGACAACCAAAAGTAAACGATTATTCACAGCTTTAGCTCATCAAACAATTGAATTAAAATTAAAATAATTACTAAATACAAAAATCATTGTAGTTACGTCTATAGATATATTGTAGCTGAAGAGCCATGATCAAATAACAAATGATGATGAAATTGGTATGTGCGGATTATGTTTCTAAACCTTCACTTCTCTACTTTAATTGAACTTGTATCTCAATTTGGACGACACTGGGTTCGTTGTAATTACAGGTGTAAAATTGGCTCTTTAATGGTGAAAAAACTCCCTTTAACGAGTACTGGGAAAACCTTAAAGAAAGGCTTCAGATAAGCGACGCCTGTTCGATAAACACAGCACTTCCACTAACTTCCTCGTAAAACGTGACACACGTTTCCGCTTAACGGTAAACAAGAACTTTACAACTGACAAGACTGACTGTCTTGCAATAAATACGATCAAATACGGCTTTTAGCCATAACATCAGCAAAGAGTTTGTTAATATTGATGGAAAGGTGTGTACTGTGCCGATAATTTGACATAAGTATAGATTATATAAAACAAAAAATACATTGGAAAATTGTACGTCAAAATCAAAGAGATGCTATTCCGGAAGCAGCAAAAAGATGAAAGATAACCCTAAGTTATCACCTCACGTAGAATTACCAAGCTGGCTCTTGACAACTACCATTACGTAATGCTAATAAAAGTGTACAAGCACATGCAAACTGCCAACTTGTGGATACGTCACTGAAGAAAAGGAAGAAGGAGGAGATTTTAGTGTACATAAAACTTTTGAAAGTAACGATGGGGTTAATTTAGTTTTCATTAAATGTTCATGCATTAGTTACTAAATTGTTGATTTTATCGGAAATGTAGTTATGACAATATTGTAGCACACACAAAAGCTTTCATTTAAAAAAATGATGAAGTCGGACCAATAGTTCGAAAGATAGGTATAGTTAATTTTATAAAACTCAACATCCGCCATCTTGGATTGGCCGCCATTACTATTAGCTACCACTTTGAGATGGCAATTATCGTTTTTTGACATCCTAATGTATGTGTCTAACCGTGGTAAAAAGGAAAATTGGTACCCCCACATTATACCATTTCCTTAAATTTAGCCAGTTGGCCCATAGACTAGTGTAGGTAGATTTATTTAACCGGTAGAGGATGTTCGGTTTACATTAATTAGACGTGCTGTATCGATGTTATCCGATAGCCCTTGACGAGAGGGATCCAACCACACCCATAAAGGTCTAAGATGTACGGTTCGCCAAGTAGCATCCGGGGTTTCCTAGACGTGCTGATGTCATTCGATAGCACTCGATATGACGAATCGAATGACACTCCGTGCGCATTTCTCGAGTTTCCGGAACTCCAAGCAAACTCTCGTGCATCCTGGACGTACGCCGCACTGCATATGCCACTCGATAGCTTTTAACGAGACGCATCGAATAACAACTCGTGCGCATGTCTCGACTCCAAGTAGATTGCCGCGCATCCTAGACGTGCGCACTATACGCTCTGCGATAGAAACGGCTCTTACTAACTCCTCCTCCCGATTACAATAAGTAGAAGAAAAAAATTTAATCTACCTAAAACTAGGTTGGTATAGTAAAACAAACGCTGTCCATTGGAAGTTGTTTATTGTCCCTTTCTTGTTATGTTGATTAAGTTGATCCATTCATGTAACGGGCGATCAAAAATTAGTTGCTGTCGAGTCGCCTTTGGAAGTGCAAGTTAAATACGATTTCCCATGTAAACAAAAGTTCCAAAGGTGACTCGACAGCAACTCATTTTTGATCGCACAGTATTCCTAACACCTAAACATCAGCAAAATTCAGTAAATTTTGATTGAGAAAATGCAAGTATTGTAGCTTGTAACCATAAAGTTACGTAGAAAAGCTTGTCAATAAAAAAAATGATCAAAGTCCTCGTGTGAGATCGAAGGGACTTCAGCGCATTTTTGTGTGGCTGATCAGTGTTTTATTAGCCAATATTGACTCCACCATCAATAAGATCTTGCCGAAAGCTACCACGTTCACTTTGTCGGTACCATTTTCTCACTTACCGTGCACTCGCAATTCGCGTTTGAAGTTTTGACTCCATCATTGTCGACACCCACTTCTGATCACCCGCAACAATTCGAATTTGAAGTTTCGACTCCACCATCAGTAAGATCTCGTCGGGGGTTACCACATTCCCTTTGTCGATACACAGTTCCGACGTCCCGTTCATTCGTAATTCACATTTTGGTAGATTTCGCTAAAATGCCGGCATAAAATCGTATTCAACTTTTGGGTACGTCACATGGCTCGACCTTCTATTAGTGACACGAGAAAGAGAGACCGCGATTCGCACTGTAAGAAACTTTTGGGCGCCCAAAGTCGACTACCCCTCGAAGCGCGCCGCGCAAAAGGTGGTTTATTTCGCCCCTAGGAAAAAAAACAAAATTCCGCCACGCAGGAGTTGTGCGCGTTGACAAGATCTTCCCGACGACACCAATTTGAAAACAATCGGAGAAAAACTGTAGAAGAAGATAGATAAAAACTGAAAAATCTCCAGGTTAGTATAATACGCTCGGGGATGGCGTCCAGATGTCGTCGACTCCAAATCTGGTAGCCCCATCCCTAAAGTTCTTAATTACACGGTCCCGATAGTTATATGTACACTCCTTGTCTTTTTACAAGCGTTTTTCTACGGGCGCGCATTTACTGCCAGCCAGCCAGCCAGCCAAAGTGAGATTAAAAGCTACTTTTTACCAAAAAAAATTTTTTCAAAAATGCGCTAAAAAGTTTCTCGAGAAAGTGTGAAAAATGGCTCTTGCAATCATACACTAGTGTCGTTTCAATTTATTTATTTTGAGGGCCTTCGAGATAAAACATAGTTAGTTGCTTGATTGTTTAGGAAATCAAGTTTGACATTCAAATATTTGACTTGCCAGTCAATTTTCACTACTTGACTTGAAGTAAGGAAGTCTCAATCTCTCAATCCATTTCCTACAAAAATGCGTAGGTAGTCTAGTTCCTCGAATGGCGAAATACAGGTCTAGAGCAGTGTATATACTGAGTTCGGCCCTTGCACTCGTTTTACCGTATCAAACCGTCAATACTAATGTTCTTAGAGATCTTCGAGGCGGCACTGAAATCTTGACTTACCCCATACTTGCAGTTGGCAACTCTGCACAAGCAGTCCTTGTGGGACATTTCGCGCAACATTCAAATCTCATAGCGTTTTCGATTGGTAAAACTCGTGCTGCACGAGTGTTGCACGAGAAACTGAAGAAATCCATGTGAAAATTGCTCTCAATGGAACATAAATATTTGTAAATAGGTATTTGTCATTTGTCCATAACCTCATTATAGATTTAGATAGTCGACAAATCTCTATTCTAAAAAATGACTGAAACGATTTCAGTATTATTTATGATAAACGATGAGGAGTATAAATTTGAAATTCCTGTAAAGGACCAATTTTTGGCGTTCATTTTAATGACTAAGTGCAACTTTTTGTAAAGTAGAAGTTATGGCTAGTTCATCGTCTTCGCTATCGCTAGATGACGACAAAAAACTCTCCAACGCAAGAAACAAATTCAAATTGTCGCACATGTTTGTTTTGAAAATTTGTTAACTAGCAGCTCCACGAGCTCTCGGACCTCGTACGTCGAAATTTGCACTGAGTGCGTAATTGTTGCATCACATTTGCCAATGGAACACAGAAAATTGCCCTAAAGTTACCAATAGAACGTAAAAATTGCACTCGTGCAGCACGAATGTTGCCAATCGAAAACGCTATCAGTATCAGTCGACTCGGACTGGATGGCACGAATAGAACTTGTGTATACTATGGTTCTTTTTCTATGCTGGGATGTGAGACACAATCGGCAAGGCAATTAAATTTTTGTGCGCAAGAAAAGACAAGAACAAATGAAATATATTACGCACACAAAAAACCAGAGGATAAAAACTTTCATTGGCCAAAAAGGCTGGAATAACACACACAAATACAAGAAAAAAAGCAACTTACAGCACCCGAATGCAAGAGAAAAATACACAATTCAAACATCTGTAATGTTCCTAGGGGTCCTCAGGCGGTACTGGAAATATTGACTTACCCTGTACTTACAGTTGGCAACTCTGGGGAAACAAAAATGCAGACAGCGCCATCTAACTTTAACTGTCTAAATATCTGACGTTCGCGCCACTTCACTCGGTAACATTCGGCTTGGACGAAATTGTACGAATGGACTCCTACGTTGTCATTTCCTTATGGCGGTCTTTTATGCGTTTGAACGTGAGACACAATCGGGAAGGGAATTTTAAAAAAACAGAATTTTTGTGCGTCCGAAAGGGAATGAAAAAAAATGAAATGTATTACGCACGGAGCTTGGTTCAGCAGAGCAAATCCAAACCGAAAAGCCAGGAAAAAAGAACCAGCAATAAAAAAACCTGGCATGACACAAATACAAGAAATAAATCAATTACAGGTAACAATGTACAAACAGAAATACGAAAATCAAACATCTCAAATCGTACAACAAAAATCAAGTAATAGAGGCAAATGTGGCTAGAACAAATTAATCAAAAACGATAGATACACATGACATAATTATAAATTGTGAACAAAATAAATCATTGGGGTATAAAACACTACTTACTTCAATAAGGGCCGGAGCTGCAGAAGAAGAGGCATGCTCAAAAAAACACAACAAATATCGAGATCTAAAGAAAGATTATATATTTATGGGACTTGCCTTCGAGACACTTGGACCATGGTGCAAGGAATCAAGAGATTTTCTGAATAAAATAGGCAAAAGCTTAATTGCGGAATCCGGCGACAAACGCGCTAAGCAATTGTGGAAATAGTGCATGTATCCTGGGCACTCTCCCAACTGAAAAACAGTTCGACGAAATTTTTTTGTTATAGTTAATTATTGTTTTCTTCTTTGTTACACAATTTTAAATATTTCGTTTAAATAAAATTTTTAAATTAAAAAAAAACACTACCTGAAAAAAACACATCAACACTCAAACAATAGCCGCCCACGCCATGCCTACAATCAGCAGAGGTCAAATCTAAAGCATAAAGTTCAAAACGAAACCAAATAAGGCATGAAATTTAAACATCGAATTTAAAATAGCTTAAATAAAACGAGTACTACCTTGATATAGCTTGGAAAAATATATCAAACACTAAACTATGCAAAGCACACAAAACCGATACTCCACCATCAAAATCTGGACCACCAGTGCTCCCGCCGACGCCACTCTCCAGCTTCCTGTACTAAATTTACGTCTGCGCAGAACGGGATTTTAGAATTCCTTTAGTAGTAAGATGTATTGCCTATCGGTAGGGGTACAACATCACACATCTAAAATTATACAAATAAAATCAGGTATCGAGAAAATGAATTTTAAATATGTGCGTTAATAAACCCACAATCTTCCATCCACACACTAATGGCCCACCCTGTAGTTACAAATTCAACGCTTTAATATTCTAACATCAAAGAAGGGAATTCAGTTTAATGTTCAACTGTTACAAGGAACTGGATTCAGAGGCATTTTGTATATTTGTGCAATGTTTGAAACTTGAAGTGCTGACACGTTTGAGTTAATTAGGAGGGACACCCTGTATATAAAAATTCTAGTTTAGAAACTAACCGGATTGGTCCTAAGCTTAGCCTAACCGCTACCAAAGTATCTTTACCGCTGCTGATTACATGAAAGATCTCTGTTTACTAAATAGTAAATACAAATACAGTGAACGGACATTTCACTTTGTATGGTACGTTTATAAACGGAAGAAGCATAAACTCATTGTTACAATGTTAAAACCGTTATTAGACAAATTAAATACGATGAGAGTAATTCTAGCAAGCAGTTCCCCACAAAGAAAATTAATACTGGAAAGTACGGTAAGATGGTGTTAATGTTCCTCGTTTGTTTTTGTTTTTACATTTTTTACTTCAATTGTTTAGTTTTGAAATGTACCTAAATGTTTCACTAGCACCCCTTGTAATTAGCATGGTTCCAATTGTTTATGATAATGATAACTCAAAAAACATGCGGAATAAAGTAAACATTCGCATTGTGATTTTTAGTCACTACAATTTGAAGTGCATTCTTCCAATTTCGAAGAAAACCTACGTCCAGAGGATTACACGTTTTCCGAATTTGTCGAAGAAACCGCTCTTGGTAAGGTAGCAGATGTATACGAACGACTGAAAGGTGATACACGAAAACCGGACATAATAATCGGCGTAGACACAATGGTCACTTTAGACGGAAGAATGTACGGAAAACCTCAAACGCGAGAAGAGGCAATCGAAACAATTACAAAGTAACGATTGGAACATCATTACTTAAATTACATAATGGAATTTACAGATTAACTAGTGCGGGAATACCCAATGTGGTTTATACAGGGGTTGTTATAAAGTACAGAGAGAATATTGAGAAATTTACAGCAGTCACCACGGTTTACATGGGGAAATTGACAAAGGAAGAAATTATCGCTTATGTTGATACGGGAGAACCAATGTATGTACCTAGTGTAACGTTGATTTGTTTATTATTGAATTTGTTCTAGGGGTAAAGCTGGAGGTTACGGTATCCAAGGTATTGCGAGCACATTTGTAGAGCGTATCGAAGGAGATTTTAACAATGTGATTGGGCTGCCATTATACCAATTAACACAAAAATTAAAGGAAATTGTTAATAGATAACTTGAATCAGAAATCCATATTAAAGGTGCCTTTTGTTATAATTATAGCTTCATTTGAAGACTGTTGCATGTTTATTGTATTTTCTTATTTACTTAATTTTTGAGTACACCAACTCGATCCACTACTTACAAATCTTGCTTGTAAAACTTGAATATGAAGGGGGTTCTTATGTAGCTGTAGACAATTCTAAACCGCTGAACCAATTTGAAAATTGCTGGCCTATCTTATGTACAAAGTGTTATTAAAACATTTAAACATAGCCCTTCAGTCAGCACTATGTAGTACCAATGAGGAGTAGACCTATTATAGCCTTCGAGTGAAAAATTTCCATCTTCACTCAACGTCTATAGTCTTATTGTTTCTACTACCCATCCTAGATTTAAGGCAGGAGAGGATACCCATGTGAGTCGTGTGACATAGTCTGTCTCTTACAATTTCACTTAAGTTTCTACAACCCTAATCAGTGCCACATCTGCCTAGAAATTGGGCCATACCCTCGGAAAGGATGTCTGGGAAAGTAAAAACGAGCTTTCAGGTACAATCATGGTGAAAAGATCATACAATAACTTAGGGCATAATAGAGCATAAATAAGGTGTTTTATTTATGGGCATATTGTACTTCAGTACTCATGCTTACGGACAATTTAAATGTTTCCAACCCATAGGCAACACAACATACACCTAAGTTATACAATTATACACGTACTCCTACACCACTGAACCGATTTGGACGATATAGGGCTAATTTGAAAGGATTCCGTGCATACCAATGAATAAAGAATACAAGGAAGGAGAATATCAACAATATACGTGCGACCGCGATGGCTTTTGCAAATGGCGGACAGTAGTTTCCTGTTCCAGTGGCGTACCTACCTTACAGTTGTAGACGGATACAATTGTAAAGAATTTTACACGAAAACAATCTAAACCCCCATGTGTCTACTCCGCCTATGACTTTTGTTTAACTAACCTCAAACTACATTCCGATAAAAAATTTGTAAATTTACATGTACTATATAAAAATAATATTGGTATCAATACTTACACATGAAATGTAATTCCCAAACTTTTATTTTTTTTCCGTTTTGGAGCAACCACACGCACAACAACTAACCATTATTTTATGTCACTGCAAAAACCACACCAAAAATGAGTCATAAGTGTATACAAGTACCTTCCTGGTATTCTTTATTCATTGGTGCATACCGATATTTTTTGGTTTTACACATGCGCAGTGTCAATTGGATTAACGCATGTGCAATGCTAACTTTTTTATTTATGAAGTTTTTATTTATGTAAACACTACGAATATAAGAAAAATTTTTTTAATCCAAAATATATAGGGTGGTCCATTTGAAAAATTGTAATTTAAAGATATAAAAAACCAAACACCCTGTATAAAAATTGTGTATCGCAATGGATTATACCTACATAAAAAAGTGCTCTAAGAAAGATTTTGCCAAAATAAATTATCTTTAATAATAAAAAAGTTATGGGGCATTTTCTATTTAAAATTGAGCTCCAGACCCCTGGGTGCACTTTTTAGCACATTTTTTAAGAAGTAAGACTAATGTGCTATTGTTTGCGTTTTGTCAGTCCGTCCGGACCCACTTCTGCCGTTTCGAACTACTTCTAAGGGAATGGTCCTAGAGTCCTGGAATTTTTTGCAGTAGGTAGCCTATACCTCGAAGGTGTGCCAGACGGCCATCAAATTTCAGCCCCCCCCCCCCACGAATTATTTCCTGAGATACTGTTTTTGGAAGTAAAACGTGCATAACTTTTACATACGACAACCAATTGTTCTCAGATTTTGCATACGCATGCGTTTAGTGGTGCCACGTTAAACTTTAGGGTGGAGGGGGGGGACTAGTTTTATCCTTCATGGTACTTTAATGAAAGGTCTCAACGAAAGGAATTCATTTCTACCAACCATAGCTCTCCTCCTCTACCTCTTATCGTGATCGGATATATTACCGTATACCTCAAGAACGGATTGTCGGAAGAGGATACTCACAAAGGGTGATTGAGACGTCTACAAGAAATATATGCATTGGTGATGTCAAAACAAAAGCTATTTCGGTTTAAAAACACACAATTTATACTTGTTTCTATCTATTAACATAAGGAGTGTTACATGTTTCCATAAGAAAGTGTCTAATTTGGACCACCATGTACACTAATGTTCTTGGCATTAAAACCAAAAAGCAACGGCCGAACTTCTCAAGTAATCACTTCTGCGCTCTAATAAACCTACCTGCATGATTACCTTTTGCGTTGTAAAATAAAAGGTTTGGTAAAATGATATAATTTTTGCCATAGCATTAGTGCAGTAACTTACGTAAAGGTGGCACGACTATTTCGTACTATATTTTTAAGTTTTCTTCAGTAATATTACAATTACCACAGATATGTGTAAATATTTACATGTGTAATATTACGTCGTTTTTATTTTTAATTAAAACTAATCCATCTCCAATAAGTACCCATATAGTGGCGAAGCGTCTATGGAAACAATGTAATCCATCTCTTAGATACTCAAAAAAGAAATTATTTTTGTAATGTAGCGATTGATCCATCTTTTATTTGGGATTTTTTGCAAATAGTGGATGAATTTGTCTTTTCCAAATTTTATTTTTTCCGGTTTCAGCCATATAATTCAAAGTATACAGTGTGTCCCAGGTAGATCGCACCATAGAGCCGGCTACAGACACGTACATTCCTTGAGATACCTATGTACGCGCGTACAAAAATTCAAGCATGAATACACATACACCTTCGAGAGATATTTTAGGGAGATATTGTTCCTGAGGACCGAAGGATGTGTAGGAATGTACGTTTGTCTGTATAGCCGGCTTAGGGAAACGCCAATGTATTTTTTCGCGAAACATCCACGAGGCCTTTAATTAGCGTTCAAAGTACTACCCCAAGTCTCCGTCTAGCATCAGACGAGCGCAATAAACGTACGTTGGACGCTAACTTCAAATAGGTAGGTACATATTAAAGACCTACATGGATCCGTCTTCTGTTTCCTACTTCCGGTTTAGCCGAAATTGACCTTAACTGTTCGTTTTTAAATGCAACACCCTATATCGGACGCAGACCATCAACGTACCCAAACCTGCAGGCAGTATAAGAGGGATGAGGCTAGGTCGATCTCACTAACTTTTGCCAAATGGGTTTAAAATACCTACCTAGGTATGTACACTGGATGAGGAATTAGCATGTCGGGAATATGCTTTATTAAAAGAAACATAACCTACACAGGAAGCTCTGCTGGCTGCTGGACAGGCTTACCCTCTTCAGTTTAGGAAATAAACTCCTGAATTACTGTGGAGATGTGCGCAAGAGGTTAAAGGTTTATCCTTCGCCATCTAAAAGGGATTAAACCTCGGGAAGTGCACACGTGACCAGCAAAGTCCGTCCGTGAACTGCTCGATGGAGCAGATCTTCTCTAACATCGCGATATGCAAGTGAAGAAAGATTTACATTTTTAAGTTTCCAATTTAGTGGTACTGGTAAGTATAGAAAATGCATTTACAGTCTAAACTAAAATCACGGAGAACTTAATTCACAAGTAAACAAAATTTCGGATATATAATATGCTAAGTACCTATGACTATGAGTAAAAATATTACAGGTGCAATTTCTAAGTAACGTTTTGACATTTAGGAATGGTAATTGCACTTAGAATGTAATTATTGTATCAACAGTAGTTGGGAATTTACCGTACCACAACAATGAACTTTCAGGGCATTTATTAAGTCAAATAAATTGTTACAGTTTATTAAATATAACACTTTTTTCACATAAGCAAATTGGACATTCGAAAGTTGTGGGAAATAGGGGGAAGTTAAATTTATTTCAAAGGTTTGCCTTCAGTTGACTTTCATATTTTTATTTGTAGTTTAGTTGCGCTATGAAACAATATATGTTTATCTTCTTTTGTGGGAATTGGGTTTAGTTACGATATATACCTTAGGATAATAATGAGAAAAGTAGAAGTGGTACTTTTACATGACAATTATAGTAAAATAATGGATTTTGTTTAATTATTTATAGTGGGAAGTGCGAACGGAATCAAACATTTACTTTCTCTTAAATAGGGTTTCATGAATATCTTTACCGAAATTGTGGGTGACCCATTCTATAATCTTATTTGAGTGCGCAAACTTAAAATCACAACCTGGTTTTCATACAATTTTGGTTACAATAATGAGTGACCAGACCATTCAATCGTTTGGTCCCTTTGCGAGTAAATATGCGCCTATGTAATGTACAAAGTGAACTTATTCACATCTGCCAATTACGCAAAGTGCATTACAAATATGTCAAATAAGAAGCATTCTCCCATATCCTGTTTCAGAGATAGTCATTTTTTTAGATTAATTTACGTCACAATATCCAAGCGTCTGCCTCATAAAATACTATCGTCCAACAGATGGTACCGACACATGTACCACTGCATTAAGGTATCAAATTCTGTAGTCTTTCCGAGTTTGATGGTATTTTTTGCTTTATATAAACGTTGTTCATAAAATGATCTCCATTCCGATTATGTATATTCATACGAAAATGTACCTTAATATATACAAATAGAGTAAGACAACAAGACTACAAAATTCTCTAATTCCATCACGCGATCAAAAGTTTGGCATGGATGTGATGTCGTCCGCAAGATATCCAGATTGGTCCTCAAGGATATAGGTGGCAAAGACAGCTAAGAACTTATAGCGTAAGGCTTTCTTTAGTTTCTTTAAATTTTGCGCTTCCTCAGATTTCTGGCGTTCTTCAGATTCTTTCGTTTCTCTGAATGTTTCGTGAATCGGGTTCTTCCAATTCTTTAGTTGCATCAGAACCTTTTGTAATGATACTTGAATTCTCCCGGTTTTTAGAGTATTTAGATGTTTAGATTCATATGATTTTTCAGATTCTTAAAAGTTTTTACGGTCTTTCCGTTGTTCAAAATTCTTCGCTTTTTAAATTCTTCATTAGTCTTCTCAAATTTATAAGATTTTTCACATTCTTCGTGTCCATCAAGGATTCTTTTGATTCTATGGATGCTTCCGATTCTC